GGGCGCTCCCGGGGCCCAGGAGGGAGCCGGCCCTGTGGCAGGGGGCAGGCCCGTCCCGTCCAGGGCCTTGGGTCTGGAGCTGCTGGACATCACGATGCTCTAAAGGCCAGGGATGGGTCTGTCGGAGTCGGAGCCGGGTCCCAGGTGGGCCCCCTGTGCACTGACCGCCCTCCACACCCTCCTCCCTCTCCCCCAGAACCCCCCGGCCAGCCTGGGCCCCGCGTCGGCCCCAACTCGAGCCCTAGCTCTTGGTTCCTAAAGTGTTCCATCTCTGGCACCCTTTTCCCGGGAATCGGGCACGTGTCAGGAGGACCACACTCCGTGGGTTAACTCTGTGCTCACCTGGGATCCTGGCTCCCTCCCCCATGGCGTAATCCCCTGAGCAGCAGCCCTGCACTCTAGTCCGAGACCCAGGCTGCCCCTCCTACGGTGGCAGGGCCCCTCTGAGCTCCCACTTTCCCAGGCTCCCTTGCAGCTGGGCACGCACAGGGCAGAAGCTCAGCCAGAGGCACCTGGCACCCACCTAACGGGAACTGGGAAGCAGAGAGGCGGGAACGACTCGGAGGCCACCTGGATGGGGCAGTCAGGGAGGGGTCTGGACAGAGAAGGTCCATGTCCAGCATCCTGTGTCCGGGGTCCACTGGACCCCTGCCGCACGGCACCCTGGGACATGGTTCCTGCTCCTCGTGCCCCAGGCTGAGTGTCTGCCCCCCAGACATTCCACCAGCCCTGAGAGCCAGGGACCTCGTCCCCCTTGGTCCCCGAGGGACGGCCAGCATCCGCCCAAGAGTAAAAACATCCTTCGGCACCTGCTCCCTGCCCCTGCCCATCCTGCCTCACTCCATGCTCCCGCGACCCTGTGAGGCAGGGACGGGGGAGGAAGCATGCTCAGAGCCCCAGCCGCAGGCCCGGCGGGGGCAGAGCCAGACCCCGGGGGCAGCAATTGGGCCACGAGTCCCCCACGTGCAGCCCGCAGACATGTGCCTAATGAGCAGTGGGGCACGGAATATGTCCCACTTCCCAGGAGGGCTGCCCGAGCTCCACCACCCCCTCCCCCGTCACCTGCCATCCTGCCGGCCTGTGTCCATCCTGCCGGCCTGTGTCCATCCTGCCGGCCATCCCTGGTCTGACCCTGTGGTAGGCTGCGTTTTTTGTTTGTTTGCTTGTAGTTAAATGTATTTTTATTGACTTCAGAGAGGGAGAGGGACAGAGAGAAAAACTTCAATGATGAGAATCATGGACCGGCTGCCTCCTGCACACCCCACTCTGGGGATGGAGCCCGCAACCCAGGCCTGTGCCCCGACCGGGAACCCAACCCTGACCTCCTGGTTCCTAGCCGGACGCTCAGCCCTGAGCCAGCCGGCCGGGCTGTGGCTAGTAGTCTTGAATCAACCCAAACAGGAACTCATTTGGATCCAATGTGCAGGCTAAATCGCATTACAGCGAACGCCGGGGAACAGGATACGCGTGCTCGTCCCTGGCCCGGAATGTCGCTGGCTGTCGCCGCCGTCCTGCCGGGCTGGGCTGAGCGCTTTCACGCATGGGCTCCCCCGATCCCACAGGGCCCTCTGACGGGGGCGGGGGTGGGGGCGGCACTGCCCCACTTTAAAGAAGCGGAAATGGAGGCACAGAGAGAGGTCACAGGCCTCGTCCAGGATCTGCTGGCCAGGAAGTGGCTCAGAGCCAGGTCCATGTTCAGGACAGCCCTCCGCGGCCCGGCCATCTGCTGGGAGCAGCCTTCCCCGGCCAGGGCCTTGGCATCGCCGCTCCCAGCAGGTTCTCCCCGGTGCCTGGGTCCGAAGGGGTGGGGAGACCCCTCCCAAGGGGGCCTGGGTTTGAAGTTACTGCCTCAGGTCAGTCCCGAGCACAGCTGGCCGGGGCACTGGCCTGAGAACGGGTGGGGGCGGGGCGGGGTGGGGGGACCAGTGTGCATTTCCGAGGGAGTGGAGCTCAGCCTCAGCACTTAGGTCAGCTTCTGGGAGCCTCAGTTCCCTCATCAGGAAAATGGACGCAGCTGCCCCAAGTGCCTGTGGGGAGGGCCTGCCCTTCCCAGCAGGAAGGGCCCCCCCCCCCGCTGACCCCCAGGGCACCGCAGCCTCAGGCGCGAGGTTTCCCATCACAGCACCTCACGCCCCTGCCCGCTGGGTGTGTGCAGGGTGGGTGTTGTAACTTCCTAATCTCAGCTCATCACTCAGTGCTCGGGGCCAAAGGGGCCCTGCACGCAGGGCGACTACAAAGGCAGAGCCAGGCCAGCTGCGGCCACAGCCCGGCTGCCTCCCACCTCCTGCTCCAGAGGGACTCGGTGCCGTCCAGGGGACCCAGCCCGCCCGTGCCCGCCGGGCCTCAGGAGGGGCCCAGGAAGGCCTGCGCGGTCCAGCTTCCATCCCCACTGGTAAGACTGTTTCCTGTCCTTTTTTTTTTTCAATCCTCACCTGAGGGTATTTTCCACTGATTTTCAGAGAGAGTAGACAAGAGAGGGAAAGACAGAGAGAAACATCAACGTGAGATTGACTGGTTGCCTCCTGCAAGAGCCCTGGTCCCTTGACCGGAATCGAACCCGGGACCCGGGACCCTTTGGTCCGCAGGCCTACGCTCTATTCACTGAGCCACACCGGCCAGGGCCCTGCTGCCTGCCTGTGAGTGGGTCTAGTGACACCCACGGGCGCAGGCCGGAGGGAAGGGGCAGGGGTCTGCCGGCTGCGGTGGGCGCTCTGTGGGTGCGGAGGATGAACAAATGCTTGGCTTTCTCTGGTCTCCCTACCCGACGGGGGGAACGACCTCCGAAGTAAACACCCGCCCCGCCTCCACTGGGTTCCAGACGAGGACCCTCCTCGGTGCCACGTGCGGGCGCTGGGAAGGTGAGGCGGTGGCAGGTGCCATGGGGGGCGGAG